GATAAATAAATAAACACAGATGGGGTTGTGTGGGGATAAGTGTAATTCTATAAAAAAAAAAAAATAACTTAATTCCGGGTGTAATATTTTTATTAATGTGTGTTACTACTCCCGTATCCAAACAAAAACTACATAGCGTTTTTTGAATTTATTTTATTTAAAATTGCTAGAAAAAAATATATTTACATACTTAAAAATTGTATTAAAAGCTCTACAGAATAAAAGGTGTCGTGACTATGTTTTTTTATCAAATGAGCAATGAAAATATCTATAAAGTAAATACGAGTAGAAGTTACCATGATATTTGATTATTTGAACAATACTATGATTTTTATTTAAGCACGGGAGAGGTATAATTTTAATGTATTTTTTTTGTTTTATGGGGATTTTATTTATTCTATTTAATTTGCAGAGATAAGTGTAAAATAGCAAGCTTACACGTTACACCATGTGAGAAGGATAAGCTGTTGCTTCACAACATGGCCAAACCGGACAAGATTTTTCCCAAACAAATAATTTTATTATCTCTTCCTGGTATTTTTTCAGTTTTAGTTTTCTTAGTTAAATCAATTAAAATTAAACTATGTGAATATAATTTTACATTAAAAAAAAGACGGGAAAGTTATTCTTTGTTAGAAATATTTTCATTAAAGTATCAAGTTTTTAAACGTGAGTCAAAGTTTGAATTTTCTTTATAGAAAAGTCTAACATTGAATATGAACGGAAATACAAAGTAATTAAAGATAAAGAGAAATTATCTCAATTATCTTACCTTAAATGATTTTACTTTTACTTTTAAGTGTTACGTGAAACAATTCCAACTTTTTAAACTGTTACGCGATTTTGATTATTACTGTTATTCTCGTGATGATCAAAATTTGATGGAATGGTGAATTACGTATTTCAAAATAAACTGGTTTGTTTCTGCTCAAAATTATTTTTGTGCAAACTCATATTGTTTGTGTATGTCACAAATAAGTTATTTCTGTATTTTATAAAATTTTAAGTTTTTTTTGTGAAGATTTAAAATTTTAATTGATTACACCAACTTGAAAAAAAAAACATTTCTTGAAGCAAAAAAAAAAACAAAAAGAGAGAGTGGTCGGTTAGATCTTGGCATAAGCCTTACGTTTGTGACCAAAACTTGCATATGCACGCTACGTATCATTTGTTACTTTATTTTTACTTTTTACTAAAATAATTTTCTCAGTCACTATTCACGTGATCTCATTTTAATTATTTTTTACTTATTTTCGTTAGTTATCTAACAAAATAATATAATAATATTAGCTCTTAGCTTGTTTTATAGAACTTTTGATGTAGTTTTAAAAGATATAATTTTTATTTTTAAATTTTACATCTATAATCAAATAAATTAAATTGAAAATAATTTCAATCAAACATAATAATTATCTTCACAATGCTAGCCCTATACTTTTTAGGTGCAGTCCATGCACAAAGTAGCAACATTGTATTGTTACATTAATGTGACATTGTATATTTATATATATTTGATACTTATATTTTTTAATTACATTTATATTATTGCATGTCTTTTTCTTAGCTTTAAAGTAAAGATCAATCAAATTAATTCATCAAATGTTGGCTCATTCTCGTTATTAATAGAACGAGCGAGCCAAAACATGAGCAACGTTATTGGCATGTATTACATGTCATTATATGTTCTATTTTGAATAAAAACATAAGAGTCTTATTTTCGTCTTCTTCAGATAATTCTTGATATATTACTTTTTGTAAATATTTGTTAAAGTCTAAACAAAATTTAGATTTTATATCTCTCGATATCACAATATCCAAATGGATATGTTTGATATGATCTCATAATAAATTTGAGAGATATCAATCGCGGGATTTAGACATGCTCCATATATATAGCAAAATATAGATTTTTAAAGTACCTTTTACCAAAATAACACTTATAATGCTGAAAAAAAATTTAAAATACCAACACACAAAACCAAACTAAAGTAATTTCACAGAATCAATTCCCAAAGCTATTTAGATTATACTTTCTCTGATTCAATTTAAGTTATCTATCAATTATACAGTATACACATGGTCAATCTTTAACCACTTTCTCTACTTATAAATTAAATTAAAAATGATTTTGATTAAAGATAAATTTAAACACATTAATTGACCGACGGACTATTTTAGCTTTCAAAGCGGTAGCTTGTTGTTGACCAACCAGCTAAGCCTAATTACACTTTTTTGCACAATTCAGATCCGAATGGACATANGAATCAATTCCCAAAGCTATTTAGATTATACTTTCTCTGATTCAATTTAAGTTATCTATCAATTATACAGTATACACATGGTCAATCTTTAACCACTTTCTCTACTTATAAATTAAATTAAAAATGATTTTGATTAAAGATAAATTTAAACACATTAATTGACCGACGGACTATTTTAGCTTTCAAAGCGGTAGCTTGTTGTTGACCAACCAGCTAAGCCTAATTACACTTTTTTGCACAATTCAGATCCGAATGGACATAACCCTAATTTTAAAAGAATCTTTTCAGTTCAATTCTCGGGAATATACTATACGGAGTAGACGAGGAGTAGACATAACCCGTACATCTTTCATCTCTCGTCTTTCTACATGTGTGCGAGTTTTTGATCGCTGTTAAGAAACTAATGGTGACTTAACAAATATTTTTGAAAATGACTAATTTTCACATATGAACGAAAGGTGGAATTATTTTAGCCAAATCTACTTTTTTCTTTTTATTAATTTTAAATTTTAAATTTATGTTTTTTAAAAATATAACAGCACAATCTTGTTAGATATTTGTCTTAATATTTTTTTTAAAAAAATATGACGACTTACAAATTTTGTTTTTTTGTTCAGAGGGAAATATGATATTAGATTATCAAAATATAATTCAAAGTATCGCTCGAAAAAAAAATTGTAATACAAAAAGGTTGTAGTGAATTATAAAAATAATTAGTGCCGTTTTGGAGAAAACAATTAAAATATTGTGCCATTTTCACAACTTTTGACATTTATTTTAGGAAAAAAATTTATATTGAATTATCGAAACAAATCACAAGTTTTGTAGTGCCATTTTAGAAAAAAATAATACGAGTAATAGAAGATTATCGATGAACATTTCGTAGTGTTGTTCATGAAATAAATTGCAATAAAACAAAAAATGTGGTGAGTTATAAAAATAAAAGTTTCATCTAAGAAAAAAATTTAGTTTTAATTACACAACTATTATAATGTTGTTTTGCAAAAACATTTATACAGAATTATCAAAAAATATTCACAAGTTTTGTACTGCCATTTTTAGAAAATAATAATAATATAATATGAGAAAACAATTTGAAGTGCCGTTCAAAAAAATAAATGTAACTTACTTACAAAAAATGTAGTGAGTTTATATACAGATAATTTTGTATTATCTATATATAAAAACATTATAAAAAATATATTTAAATTTAAAGTTTGAAATTTACAAAGAAAAAAAAAGAATTTACCTAAAATAATCACAATTTTCATTTATTTGTGAAAAACAAGAACTTCCTGAAAATTCTGTTAAGTAACCGTTAGCATTCTAATGGTGACCTAATATAAAACTCGCACAAATAAGAAAAAGTGGAATTATTTTCCATGACATTGAAAAAGGAGATTATTTTGGAAGAGCATAAAAAGGTGAGATTATTTTAGATAATTTCTCTCATTTTTATTTTTATTACTCCGTAATTTTAATTATATGACTTAAGATGAATTCATACTTGTTCTAGATGAACGTGTGATTAACGTACTACCAAATATGACACAGAAGTACTATTGGTACAATATTTTTAAAAATTCAGGGAGGATTAGTGCAATTTTTAAAGCTCAGGGGAGTCGAAATTCGTATAACTTTTGAAAAGTTCAGGGTGGAACAAAAAACTCTATAATATAATCATGTCATTTTTTATTTTGCAGAATTTTTTATCTTGTTTTTAAATATATAAATTTTAAGGTAATGCTGAATCACTCGGCTATATTCATTTCATTTAATAATAAATGGACAACTTTGTCTCTCACCTAACCTCTTTATTTTCTTTTTTAATTAGTTTAGGATAGAGATGATTTTTTAATATAAATTGGGTGGATACAACTAAATGAGAGGTGGATTTAGTAATAATCCAGATTTTATTTTCAAATTTTACACCTATTACCGAATAAATTAATTTAAAAAATGATATCGGTCAAACCTCGTAATGCTAATGCAAAGAGCCGAACATAGGATTTAAATTACGTATATTATAGGCTACGTTCCTAATTTGTTAACCAATAGCAAAGATGACGAAACTTGAAATGACACGATAAAAAAGATTAAAGGCGACCAAGCTTAAACCCGACAAAAACCAACCATTCAAGTTTTGTCAAAATCATGTACCTTAGTAATATGGAATATAGTGTGATAAAAATAATGAGGTCAAAGTATTAATTTTTTTCTTTACATTTTATGGTAAAATAATTTTTTTTTTTCAAATGAGTGTTTAATGATCTCGAATAGTTATGTTACCTTTTTTTTAAACAAAGTTGCGCATATTTATTTCTTTATATTAGTTATAATATTGTTGTATTATAGCAATTTTCATATATTTAGAAACTTTTATGTAAGATATTACATCCGTCTTAGTGTATTTTTCCAGTTTGAGTTTTTTTTGACAAAAAAATGAATTCTGAACTTCAATTATTCTCAATTTGTATTACATACGATAAAATAAAATTTTGAAAATTTTCAACAAAATAATTCTAATAAAATTATTTTATACGGAGTACTAATATACTCTGTACATTACGTACAATTTTTGTTTTATTAGATTTCAAATTTAATCTAGTTTGACTGAAAAAAGTAAAATTAGACAAATACACTAAGATTGAGATTACATGCTTGTATATTTTTGTTTTTTTTCCGGGAGATAACTAATTGGGCCTTGATTATCTATTAATTGGGTTGGACTTTGTATCGGATTAACTTTTGGGCCCAAGGGTTCTAAAATTGTACTCCGTAACATATAGTCTCGGGTCATTTCTTACCCATACCTTACCTCCAAAATCCGGTCCAGTAGTTAATTCAAATAAATTCGGTTGGACTCAAAACTAATTCAAATCTCCGAGTCCGATAAACTCTGCAATTTGGAGGAGGAGGCGGAGGAGGTCGATGGGCGGCGGCGGAGCCGGTACGCCGGATTTCTTTTACAGGGAAGCTCAGCGCCTGGGTTATGTCGCTCGCTCGGCCTTCAAGGTTTCTCTGCATCCATTTCCTTTTATGCCCTCAAATCAATTTCCTTCCTCGTTTCCCCCCATAATAATGTAATAATAGGAGTACAATATACTCCGTTTTTGTTTTGGTGAAAGAGCAGTTACTGCAGATGCAGAAGCAGTATAAACTCATAACCCCTGGTTCCTCTGTTCTTGATCTAGGTTGTGCTCCCGGTGCTTGGCTTCAGGTGTGTGTATATCTGTGTCTATGAATGTGTTCTATACTGTGTTGGACTCCAATGTCTATCCAATTTTCTTCCATTTTTCGATGTCTGATTTTGATTCTGAAATGTATTGATTGAAATTAGGACGTTAAATGAACCGAATAGATCAAGTTATGAACAATTCTTTTGACCCACGGAGACGTGAGTAGATGATGAATTGTTTAGTTTGTTAGAGTATAGAACCTTTACTTGGTCCTTGGAATAATCATAGCCATACAATCTAGCTATATGACCTTATCCATAGCCATGATCCTATGAAAACCCTACAGTGAATACGGACCATTAGGTGCTAGCCGTGAGGGGGTGTTGGAGTTATCCTACATTGGCTAAATATGAATCAATGAACCCATCAATAAGTATTCATCTCTTGAGAGCTCTTTTGGTGTGAGTTAGACCTAACACCTATTTTTACCATACTTAATTCACAACCCTAATTGAAATTCTCAATATTTTCATCATTACAAAAGTATTTCATTTTTCCATCGATACTCATGCTTGCAACCTTGAATGTGCCTGTTTTTTCATTTTAGGGTTGATTTTAATGAATCAAGAGTTGTCTCGATTGAGTTTTTGTGATGCAGGTGGCGTGCCAGAGTTTGGGTTCATTGAAAAATAATGGCGCTGTTATTGGGATCGATATTAAGGTTGGATCTTGAAAAATCAGATTGCTATGTTTTTTGCTCCATCAATCTGCTGCATCTAATTGAAAAGTCATATTATATGTTGTTTTCTTTGCTCCATCAATCTTCTGCCTATCTACTTCATAGTAGGGGTAAGGTCTGCGTACATATCCCTTCTCCAGACACTACTTTTTGTGGGATTTTTCAGTGTTTGTTGTTGTTGTTGTCAGATTACATGTTGTCTCTGATGTGTTGGCGTAAAGCACGAGAATGATTTGGGTAATTGTGATATGATGCAGAGCAGAAAGTTAAGGTTCCAGCTATGCACTGCGATTCAAGGGTTCAAACTGTTTGTGCTGATGTTATGAAATTGCCCAAGAACCAAATTAGGGATCTCTCTCCTCAGGTTTTTTGGAACATATTTCAAAAGGTTTTGTAGTTTGCACTGTTCGGCTATGTGTTCTTTTAATACAGTACAAAGTACTTTAGTGATTCACTTTTGCCCTATTTTTCGTTAGTGATATTTGTCCAAAATTATAAGTTTTAACATCTTACAACAGTTCTGAAAATCCCCTCCTAGCCTCACCTTGGCCCGCGTGTGCCAGGCATCCCTTAATACCGCTCAGGTCCCAAATCGGAATACTTAAGAGAGAAGGATGACTATATAAGATATTTAGTCCGAGTGAGGAGATGCGAAAGGCTTGCAATAGTGGATGTGACAAGCGGTAGAGATAGACCTATGTACAGTTGGAAGGAGGTGATTAGACATGATTAATGACTTCAGAATCCTATTGAGAATGTATTCTTAAATAAGAGGTGCGAGAGGCTTTCTGTAGTGGACATGAATATGAGGATAACTAGAAGAAGGTGATCTCACGTAAGTTTGTGTGCTCTTCCAAAGACCTTTAAAAGTTTCATTTGGTTTATGATGACACCACTCTTACGACCGGATCAGAGTAAACAACAATGTCGAATCAGGCCGCCCTCTGCGCGAGCTATAGAACAGAGATTCGTTTCACATAGTGAAACTCATTCAGAGACTACGTACCTTTGCCTTTAAATAATTCACACGCGGCCACCAGCTTTCCCAAAATAAGGGGAGATCTGCTGCTTACTGCTCACGGAATCAATTCCCAAAGCTATTTAGATTATACTTTCTNTCCAAAGACCTTTAAAAGTTTCATTTGGTTTATGATGACACCACTCTTACGACCGGATCAGAGTAAACAACAATGTCGAATCAGGCCGCCCTCTGCGCGAGCTATAGAACAGAGATTCGTTTCACATAGTGAAACTCATTCAGAGACTACGTACCTTTGCCTTTAAATAATTCACACGCGGCCACCAGCTTTCCCAAAATAAGGGGAGATCTGCTGCTTACTGCTCACGGAAACATCCGACACCTATACTATAGTCCTATGTTCAACGAAATTCGTTGTTCGTTGTTTCACATAGTTCAACGAAATGAAGTATCAATATGATTTTAGGTATTAAGTACACACCTAAATGGATATGGGAAAAAAAATGGATATGGGAGATCATGCCCTTGTTCAATGCTACAATGAGTCAAGGCCTCAATAAGATTTAGTTGTAACTTGTACATCTTTTAGTTCAACTCCCAATATGTTTTTCTTTTCTCTGCCTTATAGTATGTGTCAAGTTATCTGAGCCTAGTGTGATCCTTTCATATGTTATTTGGTTTCCGTTTGGTAGTGTTTTTTGCAAATTGTATTTGCAAAACCAATTACAACCGAATTAAACCAAACTAAAAAGTTCCCATAAAAATCAAACCCCCTAACTCACACAAAACTAGACCATGCCGAACCTAAAAAAACACGTAGGTTTTTTCTAGCTTATACTTTTCACTTTCTATTTTGCAGCAATATGGGTTCTCTGTCATACTTTCAGACATGTGCCCACAAGTGTCTGGAATAACAACCAGAGATTCAGTTCTATCTGCCGAACTGGGACACCGGGCGCTTGATTTGGCTGTTGGAAGAAATATCCTTCCTTCCCCAAGTTACAATGCTCAAGTGGATGATGACGTCTCAGAGAATAATGGCGCATTACAACCCGGGGGTCATCTTGTCATTAAGCTCTTGGAGAGTGAAGACACCAAAGGTAATCCACCTGTCTTTCTCATGCAAAACCATTCTCCATTTCTTACAAAATCCTAAAATTTTCCAATTTTGGACCACGAAGTTCGGAATGAATTCATAGCCACACACCAAAAGTAGAGAAAAAATGAAATCCCCTGACCAAAAGTAGCAATGACATAGTAAACGTTGAACCGAAAGGGGAATATTTGTTACAAAATCATTCCTTAAATGACTTTTTTTTTTTGTTTTTGGTTTCTGCATAGAAATTGGTCAGATATGCAAACCTTTGTTTAGAAAGACATCATGGCTGAGACCAAAAGCAACAAGGCCAAGTTCAAGAGAGATTTATTTGATTTGTCAAGGTTTGCGCACCAGCTGAAGCTCCTAAACTCTCTCCCTCAAGTGTGACTGAATCCCAAAAGCTCTTTCCATTTAATCAAGGTTCATAAGCTACTTGACTTTTTATCTATTTACTATAGTCGTTTTCGTTAACTATTCTTACTTCAAGTACAATGCCTCCTTTTCTATAGCGGCGAATCTAGTTACTAGAACTGCAAAAGATGAAATGCAAAAGCTCTTTCCATTTAATCAAGGTTCATAAGCTACTTGACTTTTTATCTATTTACTATAGTCGTTTTCGTTAACTATTCTTACTTCAAGTACAATGCCTCCTTTTCTATAGCGGCGAATCTAGTTACTAGAACTGCAAAAGATGAAATGCAACCGTTACTAAGGTACTCCCTCCGCCCTAGAAAGAATCTCATGTTTGGTATTCACCGTGTCAGACTTTGACCACTTTCTTTGGATATTTCCATGAAAATTGATAAACTAATATAGGTTGGTCTTCTCTTGTTTTGTAGGACTTTTTGAGCTAGTTTTTAAATATATATATATATTGAATTGGAAGTAACTTGAGTCAAGCATTGTAACCTGCAACAAGAAAGTAGACGAAGGGAGTATTTTTTTTATTCTTTGAAATAAAGACTATGAACATTAAAAAGATCTTCCTTCATTACAAAATGGTTGGGGTATTATTAATGCACTGATAATTGTTTTGCATGTGGAATAGGGAATATCATTAAAACTTATATTTCCTCCATCCCAAAATGTTTGCCACATTTCTTTGTTCAACTATCACGAGAACTTTTGTTTATTTATATGTTTTCATTGATTATTTGATAAAACAAAATATTTTGACACCTTTTATTTTGAAGAATTTTTCATGTAGTTTTTAAATATGTAAAATTTATTTTTTATTTCCATACCAATATTTAATTAAAATGAATTGAAAAAATTTAATATTTTGTCTCGTCTTTTCGAAATGTGGTAAACATTTCGGGATGGAGTTAGTATTTGAGTTGTTAAGTTATCCATATTTAATTAATATGGGCTATATCACTGGTAAGGCATTAGTGTATATTTGCCATCATTCCAAATCCATAAAATTGTATCACAAACAATTACAAAATTAAAAGCTACGGAGTACTTGTATATACTCCGTATAATTTAACTTTAGAACTTCGGCTTTTGGCTAGTTGGATTTTTTACGTTCAAAATGTAAGTAATATTTTGACCCTCAAAAATTATATTTGTATATAACTAAATGTTACCAAGTAAAAAAATATTACTCCCTCTGTCTCTGACTCCTTTCTTTTTTCATCAGTCCCAAAAAATACTTTTTATTTTTATTAAAAAGTCACTTTTATCCCTTACTTTTTCATACACTACCTATCACATCATACTTTTTTATTAATAATCTACCCATCAAATTCTACTTTTACCCATCACATCAAAGGACATTTTTAAAAATTTAATACTAAAATACACCCCCTTAAATCTCTTCAAAATCAAAACATCCCATGTTTAAAGGGACGGAGGGAGTATAACATTTCAAGTTATATTTCAAATTGAATCTAATAATATGTGGAATTGTATTCGCATACTTTCGGTTTATAAAAAAAAGTAATAATGCTATATTATAGGATAATGTTGATGCACACCAAAATTTATTGCATTTTGTTGTATTAATATGCAACTCAATTTATCCATTTTTTGTGAAAGAGATTTATCCACTTTTATTGGAAAAATAAGTTAAAAGAATGCTCTGAATGGGAGGAAGTATTATATACAGAGTACTCTTTTTGTGTAGGGAGTATTATTATTATTATTATTCTAACCAAAATATGGATTGATTGAGTTTGGGTTATCATTGCACTCTATAGGGGGTTACATCAATTAGACTTTTGCATTCAATCTAACGAAGTTTGCATACGCATTATTATGGCTTAGGTTAATATTTTTAGTGCTATAGGGATGTGCATGTCAAATTCCAAGACATAAATCATTGTGTTAAGTCAAATGTTGGGGTAAATATTGTTATAATGTGCATGCATCATTAGTATTTCGTTTTCAACCATGCTAGCACGAAGTTGTACACTAAAGAGTTGCAATAGCACTTTGATGTTTGATACTTGTACGAAATACAAGTAGTACGAAATTCTGCAATTGTACTTACATTTTGTGTCAGGGGTAAGACATCAAAATGCTGGTACAATCTCATAGTGTATACCAAGTGATGTGTAAGTAGCATTATTGTTTCGTTTTTTTTTATCATGAGTGAAGACTTCCCGGCCTCCTATTGAACTCATCAAAAAAACTTATAGTGGTACGATAACAAATGTATGTAGATTGATTAATTATGCCGTTAGGCCGTGCATGATTCTCCACGGAGAGATTTGCATGATCCTCCGTGGCAATGTCACGGTGGACCATGAACACCCGCCCCTCCTTCCGCTTCCGTCGTGACTCGTGACTGCCTCGCGGGAGCAAGATTGTGGCTATGCTAAATTGCTCTAACATTTCTTTTATTGCTAACCTCTTTGAAAGAAGTTCAATTCGAAATTCAAATTTCAAACCACTACCACTTTCTATCTAAATTATCCAATCTTATCTATTTTCAAGTTCTCCCTTCTAATTCCTGTCACTAATTCTTTGTAATTTTAGTCACGAAATTTAAATTTTTCAATAGACTTCAAAATATAATCTTTTTGTAGTCTCTTTCTTCTGTTTCGTCTAGTCAAAATGAAATTTTTATAGAAGCGGTGTAAGCTTCGGGTAGAATTATTGTGAGTCTTAGGCAGAACAAAACGATCATTAAAAGACGAATCCAAATTAAAAGAGATCATGCGGCCACGAACGATCGTCTTGTGGAAGATTATTTTTGTACCGAGCCAACGTATAACGACTTGGTTTTGGCTCGATATGTTTTGGGATGAGCCCACGTCTCTTTTGTAGAATAGCCGACTTGTGAACCTAGCCAATTGCAGTATTTCCAACAAAAATACAATGCCAGAGGTAAACTCAGATTTACACATTTGTAAAAGTGTACATCCGCAATTCGGCAACTCGCTTACGGTGCAAGTTCTAATAGTTGGGATGAATATTTGAAGATGTTCAAAAAACTAGTTGAGATACACTTTACAAATTTTGTGAAGGTATGCACTCTTATTTATATTAGTACATTTTAATTTTTTTTCTCAACTTTTATTTTAATATTTTAGTGTAAAATATTAATTTATATGATATTGAAGGTGTCATGGTACTATATGATAAAAAGTATTTGCAGAAACCATCATGGAATGACAATTTAAACAATATACGATGTTCATAAGAAAGTGCATGGATTTTCAGTAATACTTGGTAGCATTGACCTCATGCACTTGGAGTGGGAGAATTGCCCAACGACTTGGTGCGGTCAATATCAACAGGATGATCATAGTCACCTGATGTTGGTGTTTGGAGCAGTGACGTCACATGATCTTTGGATATGCCGTGTGTTATTTGGAGTTTGTCGATCAAGTATTGATTTAGATGTTCTTGATTAGTCTTCGGTTTTTGACAAGATCGTTAATGGAGTTGGAGCTACTCTGTCGTTTATTGCGAATGATACAAAGTACAATTTTTGTAATTACATGGCTCATGGTAATCGCTACGGAAGTGAGGCACTACGAGTGTGAAGTAAAATGTTGAGTGGCTATTGATTTGGAGTGACTGATTGTGAAAATGCATTTGGAGGAAATAGCAAATATGTTAAAATTTTAAGTACATAATTTCACATTCTATTGAACTCCCTAAAAAAACATATGAGAAGTTTAATATGGAACACATTTTATATTAAACCCCCTCAAATTTCTAAAACTGATTTTTTAAATACTTTTCCCCAAAAAAAGTCTCAATTAAAAGGGAGCGAGTTATTTATTGTATGTGAAGGTACAACTGTTTCTTAACGAAGACTTTTATGTGTTCGCCAATGACAAGTGAATTGTTCATTAAATAAAATTTGTATGCTTTGTTATAAAGGCAAAGAAGAAGTGAATTGTTCATCAAATAAAAGTTAAACATTCACTCACTGCATACTAATTGCTCGTATATAAATTTGACCGAAAAAATATTTTTTCGGTCAAATTTATCTTTCAAGTAACTTCATACTTTTCTTTTTGGGATGTATAAAAATCAATTTCACACTTTTCTACTTTTTTTTACTAAATAAATGTGGATATCCTTCATTCTTTTTTTTAATATTAATAAATTTCACTCCAAAAATTTACCTTTTTTCACTCTTTCAAAAACCAAGATGTGAGATTGTTTCAAAGACAGTGCATGGGAATTAGTGTGTGTTAGCGTGTAAAAATTACACACTCCCTTCGAAAATATTCTCGTGTTGACGTGGGACGCTTATTAAAGAGTAATAAAAAAATTCTAAATTTCCAAAAATGCACATATTATAAACTTTTGAATCTTCTTTTCTTATTAAAAAAGCAATAAACAAGTAGATTAGTGATAAAATAGAAGAATATTATTGAAATTTATATTTAAAAAGTATATTACAAAAAGAAATGGAAAAATAATTTCGAACAGACCAAAAAAGAAAGTTAGAAAAATATTTTCGGACGGAGAGAGTATCTCGTAAAAAAAGGGGTGACAAGGGAAGTCACAACATTATTAACCTGAGCTGGCTGATTAATGGAGTTAATTATTACTAGTCAAAGATGCAGTATATGTCTTAATAATAGAATTAATTTGAGAGAGATTACTGCAATTAATTAAATTAATTGCTGCCTAAAAAAATTAGCTGGGCAATGAATTACCTGATGATGTGAAAAGTTTGAAAAGACAAGAAAAAGAAAATCGTGGGTAACTCAGAAAAGCTGGTAACAAGAGATATTGTGTTTGTGCACCAAAGATCTGGTGGTAGGGATGGGTGTACACATGTGCAGATGACATTCTTGCCCCCAGCCCTTAATTAGGTTTTTTTTTGGTACGGCCACCTGCATCATATACCCCCCCCCCACTCTCTCTTTCGAGGGTCCCCACGGGTAGCGTAGTTGGTCTTCAGATCGAGAAGTAATTACGTTCAAGATTTCGGGATAAAATAATAGATCCGACGACAATGCATGGCAGTGTGACGGGAATTTCGTCTAATGTCTTTTCTCGTACGGCGAATTGGACTACAATTATATCATAATTTACGCCTGCATAAGTTACTATGTTGGGTAAGGGTATGGGGGTGACGGGGTCGGCGTTCCACCTTTACTTTGATGGTAGGTAGGCATGAGAAGTCATGGTAGCTTAAAAGATAAAAAAGGATTGATAGATAAGTAATACCTTACTTCGAATCCTGATAACGATGTTGTCTAGCACAGATGAATATTGTTTATTTTACTTTAATTTGTCTCAAAAAAAATTAATCGACTGATTCCGCTGGGAATGAAGTTCATCGTAACCTTTTTCTTTTGTACGAGTCTAAGAGGTATATTCAATTAAATTATGAGTGTATAAACTCGATCAATCTAGCAAATAAACCATTCCATCTGTCCTTGAAAAAATTCTAGTTACTATTTATAGGTCAAATTAACTATATTTTCTTTATACATTTTTATTGATCATTTGATAAAATAAATAACTTAGTCTTCACTTGTTTTTATAAAACTTTGGAT